CTGACAAATGGTGGGAGGGGTATATTTTTCCCTTGTATCGTGCCCCCCCCCCCCCCCCCATATGCACAGGGTTGCACCTTAAAGCAGTTTGGGAATACAACTATTATTTTTTGCAGTCAACATGCTGGGAAAACCATTTATGTGAAAGGATCTAAGGTATGATCTGTTCCAGAGCCACTATCCTGTCAGCTTGCCAGATGTGTATGTCTTTAAAAAATCAAATGAAAGCAGACTTGAAAATGGATTTCAAATCTCAACACATTTAATGTAGAAAAGCTAACTAAGGGTGGTCTTGTGTCCCAAGTGGTTTTTCCCTTATCCAGAAACAAATACTTTAATGAGGAGGGTCCTTCTGTCATTCCTGGTCACGATTAAGTAATGACAGGGAATGGGGAAGATCTTCTAGTATGTGTGGGCCTGGGTAATGCACTTCTCAAAAGTTGCAAGAACTTTGCTTGCTATCTCTGGAAAGTCCTCATTAGCCTAAAAGAAAGTATCTTACAGCTGATAAAAAAAATGCAGCAGCTCAGCAGAGGCCGTGTATTTATAAATTCACATCCATCCTTTACTCACCAGTCATGACAAAAGCATTCCAAATTTGCAAATTAAGCATATTCCAGCAACAAATCTAATACTGGGACAACACAAAAATGTGTACGGTCTATTCCTCATCACGTTTCTTTAGGTGCTAATTCACGGTAGGGCACCCAGTGTTCAGCCAATGTCTAAAAGGAAGGACACTAAAAGAGACTGGCAGTGTAACAGGTACCAGAAAGTTGAGAGAGAAGTCCTTTCCCTGGAAAGATTGTTTGGCTCTCAGTTTCACTCCCAGCTCGTTAGCGCTCATATTTGTGCTACACACAACCTAAAAGTTGTTGCAATATTGTGGCATGCGGGATACCCCATCAATGTTCACAGGTACTTCTAAAAGTGGAGGAGACTCCACACCAGCAACAGCTGCAGCACCAAAGCCAAATATTAACTTTTGCTTAAAGTGAGCATACTGAAATTCAGGCAAGTCCTATTTAGCACAAAGAGTGGAAAACGACAGAAAAGTGTCATTGCGCTCACCAACTGATCTGATGTTAAAATGGGCTTATGTTTCCATGTCTACCAAAGGAATGTTTTCTTCCTTACTTTTAAATCTGTGTTTACCTACAAGGCTAATGTGACATGGAAAATGATCCAACTGCAAATGACATGCAATTATACACTACACCTCTCTTACTGTCCCAACTGCAGGGAGATGTCTATTATTTTTGTATATTGAGAACCAAGTGCAATATTCAAATTCCAGTACTACCCAGGGGGACAAATCTAACCTAGGTGCAGAAGACCAAATCTGAGTGCATATCACCAGGGAAGCCTGACATATAAAGCAAGGTTACAGAAACAAAATCCACCCTCTTTAATTGGAAGCTCCATTCTTTCCAAAGGTATCTGTGGGAGAATGGAATCCAACAAAAATTTATGAAACAGAACATTCAGGTTTTGAAAATATTTACCAGGTATAAAAAGAGAAAACCTACATGAAACACAATTTGAGGTATATTAAGCTTGCTTGTCTTTACTTTGCTCCGAAAACTCAGCTTCAGAGATGCCCGTTTATCTATATCTGGTATAGCAAACTGGGCTTCTCTGAACTTTCCTTGAAGAACTGGACTAGAATAAAATCACAATTCTTCAATAGGACCCAAATGAACCAATCTGTTAGTTATGAACTTATTTTTTCCCTGCTCTATTCTTCCCAAGTAGTTTTGAAAAATATAAACCTATTATTCAATTTGACCTTCAGGATTGTTTTCAACAGTTCCCTTACTCTGATGCTGAAAAGAGCATTTTCGATACTGTACAAGTAGAAAGTCCAGGTTCAGCTCCACAACTGCATATTAGAAGCTTCATAAATTCTACTCAACTTCAAATACCACCTACATGGTATTGTTAATACTAAGAAAAGTTTGTCCCTGTATTTCACAAATCACTACCCGACAGTGTAGGGATCAACTTACACAACTGTAAATCATTACATTAGAATGTAAATATTCATAATGAAATGAGCTGGCACGTTCTGGAGGGAGTAGGTAATAAAAATCCTATTAAGTCCTCTTTTCATGCTCAGAAATTTAAATCGTATCTGCAGCCTGTACAATAAATCGCATCTCAGAAATTGTATCTGTAGCCTGCACAAGACCAGAACAGGTAAGAATTTGCACCACATTGTCAGAAGACCACCATTTTGATCTCCATCACTCAGTGAGCATTTCTGACCAGGCCATCCCTGTACCACTTACGGATGTTCCTGATGCTCCTTCTCCTCTTTCTGAATGGGTGAATCATAAATATCTTGGAGAAGTGCTCAGAGACATAACATGTGCTGCCTTAGGGTGGTCAAGCTGGGGCTAGTATTCTGGCTTTCTGGTATTGACATTGTGTGGGGTTTTACTCTGATGTTTTATATTTCAGCTGCTTCTGTTTAATCTTTAGCTCATACAAACTGTTGCAACCTGCCTTAAGCCCTTAGTCAAATAAAAATATATAACAAATTAAAAGGAGCTTGCATCTGGCATATGAGAGGTACGCTACAATTCCTGGCAATTTGCCATGCCATCCAGATGCTCAATGTAATTTTCCTTAGGTGCCCTCCCGGAGAGGAAGATTAACCCTACCTTTACACACATTACATACATCAAACAAGGTATGATTGGCAGTCTTCTATTGAATTTAAAAGCAGGCCTGTTTGAGTGTAGGTTGCTTTGTGGTTGGCACTAAATGATAAAAGATACAAGAACCTGTTTTCAAGCGCATATAAAAGCACACCTAGACATCATAATTTACTGTCAAATAACAATTTCAAAATAGTTTATAGCAGAAGACGTAGAAAACATGTCCAACCAAAATTCCCAACTACCCAGCATGGTATACTTGGCATGCAAGTCTTATTATAACTGAACATTTGGATCCATCTGAAATAGCCGACCCAAACTGCTGCTCTCCAAGTGTGTTGAACTACAACTCCCAGTATTCCTGGCCACTGGCCATGCTGCCTGTGACAGATGGATGCAGAAGTCCAAGACACTGGGAGGGCATCAGGTGGGGGCTAGCTGATCTGAAGTCTGCTTGGAGGCAGCTTGGCAGGCCTTGTTTAAACAGGGAGCATATTTTAAAATGGAGTGAAGGCTAAATGGGCAGGCCCACTTACTTTACTCTGCACCACAAAGGCACTGAAAGAGAAGAAATCTGCATACACCAGCAGCTTCTTCAAATCTCCGCTCCACTGCACAAATTTTAAACACAAGACTCCTTCAGTGTTTCAGCTGCTCACTCCTGAACATGAACCAAAACACAAGCAAACAGTGACGAGCAGCTGAAGTACAGAAGGAGAGAACAGGCAGAACTGTGCTCTTCACAATAGAGAACAGAGAACTACAGCACCCTTTGCTAAGATACATAGCAAAGAGAATCTCTGAATTAGGGGTATATGCCTGGGGTCAGATGCAAAGGGTTGAGCCCCAGAGCCACCAGGTACTTATCCTTACTACTGGAATTTTGTTGAGGTAGTTCAGATAAATTGAAACACTGGATCCTCATTGTGCAGCTTCCTTCTTAGTGATGGCTTTTTGCTCAGACAAGTAAAGAAGCAGAGCTGTTCTCACAGCACAATAACCCACCGTGGGTCATTCAAGCCTTGGTGAGGAAGTGGTGCATTCAGCTGCAATTTTGAATAAGCAACTCCCAATTGTTGCCCTGCCGTATGAACCTGGCAAATGGGAGTTATGTGAGGGTTAAACAACCCTCAGATAGCCCATGTCTGTTTTTGGATTATGTGAAGACTGTTTAACCCTTGCAGAAACCATATCTGCCAGTGCTACTAGACACAACAGTCCCTAAATAAAGTTTGCATATGCTACTTGACTCCCAGAGGCACCCCAGCTCACTATGAGCGAATTAACCCAGAGAGAGCTGTGGAGTGTTGACTGAACCCTGTCAGTGTGCCTACTGAAATCTACCCCCTTCATGAAGTCTGGGAATGTGATGGGGACTGTTGAAAGTCTCCACCAGTATAGTGCCCTGTTCATTGCCTGCTCAGGTCAAGGGGAGAGGGAAGGTTACAGAACCCTTCTCTTCTTCCATGACTTCCAAAACCGCCACAGTCTTGCAGCATGCAGACACCACCTCTTATGACATACCTAAGCCACTGTGCCCTTCAAGGAAGCAAAAATGGAGTTCAGAGATCAAATGGCTTTACATGTGGAAGTAGACTTTTGACTCAAAGGGTGCCTGAGTGGAGGTAAAGCTTTCTCTCTGAATCTAGGAAACAAATGGAACTCTTTAGGCAAAAGTCAACCAGGTACTTCAGAAAAACCAAACAGGGGGCTCTGTCTCAAGAAACATGGACTAAGCACCAACATGGAACAGTGATAGTGCCAGAAGAGCATTGCAAGGGTCTTGGAGACCAAATTAACCCCCGTTTACTCTTAGAGCTCTGCCTTTTATTATTACCATTGTGTTCCCAATCTACTGGATTCACTCTCTTCCCCAAATAGAGAATATTTTCACCAAGATCCAAAGGATTACTTTAAAAAACTACGAATAGTTTTAGCACACTTAGGTTTTTTTCCATACCATATTGCTTTAGAAAGTCATTCAGTTTGATAAAAGGTACACCATATATCCCCAACAACAAAAAAACCCCAAGATCCTCTGGGGCATCTGGAACTGTGTGTGTAATTCTTTGTATATCAGACTCAATATCTTGACTATCAGTTCAAAGTGCAAACTTTATACATACAAGTTGTATATACAAGTACACCACCCTCCCCTCCAACACACAACACAGTACAGTTACTTATTCTGGCTTTTCATGCCCCTCTTAAAACTGAGTTTTCATGGTGCCTCTACTTGTATCAACACTCAAATACCACAATATCACATGATTGGTTAATTAATTACCTATAAAGCCCTCCTAAGCCAATAAAGGTTGTCTCTATAACAGCAGACAATTTTTACATGATAAATATATCCTGCTATTTATTTGATGCAGTAGTAAAACATAGCCAAATTCCAATATTTAGGAAAAAACAAAGCATAATGTTACAGCAATGTTAATCAATATTTAAACTTTTAACCTCTTTTACAAATCCTCTCCTTTCCATTTGGACCGATGCCACTACTTTGGCTGTACAAAGTATTGTGAAAATATGCAAAAAATTAAGACAGGTTTGGTGACAAACTACTGCAGTTGTTAGAACCATTAGGCACTACTTTGTTAAAATGAGTTTTTCGAGTTTTAAAAAGGTCTTCATTTTTGTATAAAATGCATCTCCTTCTTGAACTAAATATCCTATACATTTCACAAAAATATAGATTTTGGAACCCTTTAGACTTCATCAGTCTGAGCTGCTTCCACTGTCCTGCTTGATGTCATTTTCTTGTCCAGCATCATTTTCCCCATCACTCTCTTTATCCCAGTCTTTCATTGAGGCTCCCATCATGAAGTCGTCTCGCAAAATACTCCATGCTGGCCCTTCTTCTGATTTAGATTCAACCTGAGAGTTGGGAGAGGGGGAGCAGGGAAAAGATGAGTAAATGATAGTATCAGACAGAACATTTCTCTTTAAGCAAACCACCTCAAATCGACTGTACTTAGAATTACAGCCACTTGATTCACAAAGAGACTGTGTCTTAAAAGCAATAAAATGAATGTGCGACCCCCTATTGTCCCTATCACAACTCCCCCTGTTCACCCAAGAGGAAACTCTCTACTGACTCTGGAAAGGCTTGGGCATCCAAAAATTGAAAGGGGTGGGGGAACTATTAATTGATTTTTCTTCTGAAAACACTCAGTAGGAATTCTTGCCTCCCTCAAGCCCAAGAAGTCTACAGGCAAGAGAGGTGGAAGGGAAACTGATTGAGGACAGGGAATGACAGCTGGAGAAAGGGGAACTACAGCTGACTTTAGTTTCAGGCTTACAAGTAGAAGGGCTGAGAAGACCTGAATGAGGTCCCTGAGGGTGAGTTCAGCCAGGAACAGTCCAAGTCACAGTGATGCTTGAGGTACAAAATCAGTTTGGTATCCTACTCCTCACTAAATGAGCAGAATCTGCCAGGACATCCTCCCATTGCTGGACTCTGGTTGGGAAAAGAGGTGCTATAACATGAAATGGCAAGATCGCTTCCTCAAGCGACACATTTGAGGCACTGAAAAGAGCATGCTAGTGAATTCCTATGCAGAGGAGCACTCCACTGCTCTTGTGAGACTGCCCTTCCTTTCAAACAGGACTTATGCCTCATGCATGGGTTCAGATCTGATTGCTGGCCACTAAGAAGTGATTCAAAAGTCAAACCAGCAGAATGAATTGAGCCTGAGAAGCAAAGCAGTAGCCAGAACAGTTGGCAAAGCACTAGTGTCATTCAAAGCTGCACCTATTACAGTGGTCTAAGCTGGAAGTACCAGAACATGGAACACAAACCAGGCTACATCTATCTAGACAGGGCTGCAAGTGGAACACCATCCTAAGAAGAGGAAAAGCACCCCGTGCCACAGAGACTAACCAAGAGGCATGCGTTTTGCTTTGTACTTGGCAGACAGGTCCCATCTGTAGACTTATTTACAAGGCTTTCCTAGAGAGATAAAATTCCGAGAGGCACCAAATCATAAATGCAACAGAGCCAGAGGCACCATCCTAGTGCAGTCCTAGTCCTACTAGGATGGCCTGTTCCAAAACCTGGGCTGCTGATTTCAATTCCCAGTCCAAGAGGGTACTATAGTCAGTAGCAGTGAAAGCTTTAAAAGAGGTATCAGGAAATTATTGGTGTTGCACTCCACCATCCTCATCATCCTTCTCCTGGAACAGATTATCCATCAGATTTAAAGCCAAAGTTAGGTGAAGAAGCTCAGTCTCATGCAAGTGCTTGTAATTGCAAGGCAACCACATACTCAAACTATCCAAGGTCACTGAGCAAACTGCCACCTCTGCAACCTATCTGGGGGTGCCTTCAGTAATTAGTCTTAATTATATATTGCAGTTTTTGCTTATAGAGCACTTGCTTGTATCAGGCATGTTAGAGCCTATTTTGATCCTATAAGAAATACAGAATGCCACTAGGAAACCAATGGCTGGTTCATACATGCACCTACATCACTTAATCTCAAAATTCTTGATAACTTGCAGCTGATTGTAAAAACTTATTCCACAGGAAAACATTGGGTAGTATCAACTGGTAGTTTTCGGTTAGCTGTAATGTAGGTCCCATTGAGGGTATGATCCTATGTGTATTTATACAGAAAACAACTCCTACAACTTTTTTCCTGTTTAAACATGCATAGGATTGTGCCCTAAACTAAGTCTCATTCATTTCAACTGATCTGCTCTACATAGGACTAATATTAGATAGTACCCATTGTGATTGCATAGATACCAGGAGATACAGAAATGCTGGCTACAGTGATTAATCTGTGCTGGCTTATGCTAAAAGTCAGAGTGATGAACTATGAACTGGCCCAGAGATCTTACTATTTTGAGCAGGGTGGATGGGAGTATCATAGTAAAACCCTGAATAATTTATGGTAAACTGACACCAGAGGTGAGTAAAACAGGACTGAAGAGGAAATTGACTGACCAAAACAAAACACACAGCGTCTTTGAAAAAACAAGAAAAATGCCCTGAATCTAACTAGACCTCAGGCTCTCTAATGTCCTAATCTGCTCTCCAGAAAGGCATGTCCCCCTTCCCCAGCCTTACCACCAATTATCTGATGGCTTTTTGGCTTTTATGCATTTTTCTCCTATTCTAAAAGCTTGAAATGTTTCTCCAAAGGCTTAGTTACTGGCAGGCGCTTTTAACTAAATTATGCTTGCATTTCATGTATTTTGGTCCTAAGTCTTTGGGCATGCTGTTTTTGTCTTTGGCACAACCCACTACTGGAATAATGATGAAATTGAGGCTGTTGTATTTCAGCTTATCATGACCAGGCAAGACCCCCTGGAGAAGATAATTATGCTAGGGAAAATCAAAGGCAAAAGAAGAAGAGGAAGCCCCAATATGAGATGGACCAGTTCCATAAAAGAAGCCACAGCCTTGAGTTTACAAGAGCTGAGTAAGGCTGTTATGGACAGGACATTTTGGATTGCTGTAAGTGGGAGACAAGTTGAGGGCACTTAACAACTAGTACTGAATGCAACCCCAAGAGTATTTCCAAAATGGAGTTCGGCCTTGGGCTGAAAGAAGTTCTAAACTGGACACAGGCAACTCTGTACAGAGACAGTGGCTCTGCATGGCCCTTCGTTTCCTGACAACCTAGGGTATTGCCTCTACAGTAACACATTTTGTGGCAATCCAAACTGCCTCATGACTGTTTTATTACAGTCAAGATATGACTTCATTAAGATATTTCCTGGCATGTATATCACCACAATATGTGGGTTTAGCATATTCTGCTACTTGCTACTCAAATCATCTGATGTCAGCCATTACTGACTAGGCAAATTGTACTGTGCAAAACTGCCTCAACAGAAAGGCAAGAGCAAGTAGCTCCCTGGATAGCAATCAAGTTAGAAATTTGTTCCCAAATTTGTGTCTGCCTGGAAGCAGGTAGAAAGAAGCAGTGTTTAGCGAGTAAGAGAGGGGAGGGGAGCTGGGTGACAAGCAGTTTGGTTTCAGCTCAGCATTAGTTGCCAGTCTCTTAAAACTGAGGATGCAAAAAGACCTCTACGGCAGTGCAACAGCACCACTCTGTGGCAATAATTCAAGCAACACCACACCATGCATCAAAGACAAAAGTGCCCCATTCAGGCTTTAACAGGGCTGTTTTCAATGTCTCATTAAATAAAAATAATCTGTGTTCAGAGTAGACTAATGGTGGTATCCTAAACATGGCAGTTCAATTGAGTTCAAAAGGACTCCCCCCCCCCCGCCCCAAGTAAGCATGTTTGGAATCTCAGGCTTAGCTTTGTATTTTAATATTTGACATCACCCAAGCTACAGATTGCACCATAGGTCATCTGTTCTCCAATTCATATCTCAAAGCCCTCATTTTTCATGTTTGCATAGTTAATTACAGAGTTGGGTCCAGGATCTGCTTTCTTTGCATGGAAAGGCTCTGCTTACGGAAGTTGCCTCCAACTCATTTTCAGGGATTTTTTTACCTATCCCTTCTCTTAACTCAGTGAACCGAGTTCTTTCGAGTTGGTGTAGCATTTCCAGGAGGTGAGACTGGTGTAGGGAGATAGGGGCTGGAATATCTGATTGTTCTAGTCCAGCTAACCACACTTAAATCTGTGGCCAATATATTTAAGTTTCATTGTGCCTTCAATGTGCCAGTGTGGTGTAGTGGTTAAGAGCATGGGACTGGGACTCAGATGATCTGGTTTCTAGTCCCCGCTCAGCCATGGAGCCAACTGGGTGACTCTGGGCCAGTCACAATCCCTCAGCCCAACCTACCTCACAGGGTTCTTGTTGTAGGGATAAGATGGAGGAGGAGAATGATGTAAGTTGCCTTGAGCCCTTTGTAGGAAAAAGGCAGGATATAAATCGAAAAATAAATAAAATAAAATAAAATAAACAATTGCTTCCATTTCTCGAAAGATTAGAAACATAGAAACAGAGCAAGTCAGAAGGGGTCTCCCAGGCCATCTAGTCTGACCTCCGGCACCAGCCGGCTCCACTCACGACATGCCCACCATGTGGACGTCCAGCCTATCCTTGAACATCCGCACCGACGGGGCCTCAACAACCTCTCGTGGAAGCCCATTCCACACCCTCGGGGTCCTAACTGTCAGGAAATGCTTCTAATCAAAATATTTAATGATTGTAAGCCAAATGAATAGCAATCTCTCCAGTCCTAAGGATGTCCTGTATTTCTTCTCAATATTTAATAATAACCATATGCAAGTATTAGCCCACTGCTTTGCAGACCCCAAAGTCTTGTGGGATAAATGTGCCATATTTATCTACAGAACAGTTCTCCTGCAATATTCATGGCAAAAAGTGACTATAAACAGGGAACACTCAACATTTGATATCTCTTCAGAGGGCAGAAATATATCATTCCAGAAACTATTTTGAAAAGATACATTTCAGTATGTGAAATTTTGCATGAAAGGTCTCTACTCGAAAACAATGAGAGATAAAATTATCTTTGTTAAAAAAAAGAAAGATAATCTTTACTCATTCTCCCCATCCATGAAATTAGCATTAACCACTCTTCCAACCTGTGCAACAACACAGCTTTTCCAAAAGATTACATTTTAAACAATTCACTGAACTGTATCATAATTCTTACTCTGAAGTATCTGTCCTAATCCATTTTACATTGGTGCCTGAATCATCAGATTTAATGCTTTTTTACATTCTTAGAACAATTTAGAGTGCTCTAGTCTCTTTGCCAATATCTCCGCATGGAGATCTGCCAACACTTGCACTTTTTACCCAGTTACCAATTTCAACCTATTTCAAATTTTTGTTACATGTGTCTTATACTAAAAATGATTACATTCACAAAACTAATGCTAAGTTTCTGTGGATAAGAGATGGCAAAACTGATTTC